CAATTTAGAAAATAAATCCTCTTTTTTTATTTCCTCTTTCACTGCTTTTTATCTTTTCCCTCTCATCTCCTGATATCTTCTCTCCTTACATTGTTCTTGAGCAACTGGAAACATGCTCATCTTGCATATGAAGATCAGAAAGCTGTAAGATGATTCCCACTGCTACCCGCTTCTTTTGTAATCCTTCAAAGCGGTAAAAAGATGCGTGTCAAAATCATGATTCCTAATGAAAAATGAGTATTAATGGGGAAAATTTTTGATCACTCACTTGCAGCTATCAATTACGTAGACAACATCATTGATTGTAACGCTCGTTTCCGCAATATTCGTCGAAAGAATAATCTAAATGAACAGCAAAATTTAAAAAAGAAATCTTTTTTTTGAATCTATTCTCAGTAATGTTATTTGAGCGTGAGCGGAGAGGTATGGAGAAATTGGAAACTATGAACAACAGAATTTCAATCTGTCCCCTCCCCATTTCCCCCCATCCTTGCCTGGAACTATGTTTTGGAAGTAGCAAGCTTAGGGCCACGCATCATGGAGGGGTTGCTGAGGGTGGAAAGCACCAAGAGGGCTGGGCATGTGAAATTTTTGGCGGGAAAATTACTGACTCAAGAATCAGAAAAGCTAGAAAGCTGAAATTTTAGGGGAATGTTCCTTGTCAAAGTACAATTTAAATATTTCAAATTCAGCTTCCATGTATGCGTAGTCCTCATGTACGGGCACTTAAAAGTCTCACTGAACAGCTAGGTTACTTTCAAAGAACGACCGTTAAACGGAAAATGTTCATTTCTTTTACGCAAAACTGTTCTTAGTGGCCGTTTTAGTATTCAGGTAAGTTTTGTAGAAATTTTAGAGATATAAACAATGAATGTCACTGGCTAGGAGATTGGAAAAGGACGAGAGCCTGAAACCGTCTAGGCGTTAACATATACAGTCTGTTCGGCGTAACGCCATATATGCAACTGATTTATAAATATCTTCAAGAATTATATTCAAGAAAAGTACAATTCCCGAAACTGTTAGTAAATTTCGTTCAAAACCTTTGAATTTATATCAGCAGGGCAAAATAAGCAAATAAAAATTACCTTTCGCATATGTGGTGGATAGCGTTCAAAAACTCGGCGTTGTTCCTGGCCTGTCAGCTGCGAATGCAGTGGAAGTACGATAAATTTCGATTCGTTACCAAAAACTGAATGCGCTCGCAGGTAATTCAGCAACATCGAA